TACTACTCTGTAGCTCAGCCCACTATCTGGATTGCAAATTTCTACTTACTCTCTAAACCCATAGTAGTGTGTCATTGTCCTCACTATTCTCCTGAAAATGTGTCTATTAAGGCCTCAACTGACCAACTAATTATTCGATCAGGGGACATTTTCCAGCTTTTATAGCACAAAGCACACAATGGTGTTCTTTACTCCTCCCATTTAATGACCCTCTCCCTCTGGGCTTCTGTGAAACTGCTTCTGTCAGTTCTCCCCTCTTCCAAACCGCTGCTTCTCACTCTCTTTGGAAGGCTGTAAGCTGATGATTTCCGATCTCTGGCTCCACCCAGATGTTTCTCTCGGGCTCTGCACCTGTGCATGCAGCTGCCTCCTCGATATTTCTCTGCAATATCCCTCAGGCCTCTCAACCTTTTCAAAACTGAATGCAATTTTCCTTAAATCCCTTTTATGAAGTGAAGAGGAATAGAATTTTTTTTTATTGGTCATGAACCTCAAACGAGAAATTTTACATGAATGTAGAAGAGTAGTTTGGATACGGCAGTGAGGAACGGGGTGAACTCTCACCTCAGTCTCTGGCTTCTAGGTACGTGGGCCACGGCAGGTGACTATCTTCCAAAGGAGTGGGACCTGCGGGACTCCAAGACGTTAGGGGCAAGCCAAGTCTCAGTGAAGAGATCAAGGTGAAATGGCGCTTACTGACAAAGACAGCACGGCTTGGAGGACACAATTGAGAGAGGAAAGTAGCTGAAAGGAGAGAAATCGTTAAGAAGCTAAGCCCGCACTAAGTGTTTACTGAGCTTTTTTGAGGGCAGGTGCCAATCATAACCATCTTTTCATCCTTAGAACCTATTCCAGTGTCTGGTGTATGCTAGACTCGAAGCAAATATTTGTTATAATAAAATGAGACTGCTGTAAATGGCTTTGCATTATTTTCCATGAGAGGGATGTGGCGAAAGATCCTGTTCTCTTTTGGTAAGAGGAAATGAGAAAGAAGGAAAATAGCTTTGGGCATTTAGAAGGATATAACTCAGTTCTACAAACATTTAAAAATGCCTATTAGGTTAGCCACAGTTGAGTGTAACACCCGAATCAGTGCATCTTTCCCCTCCAGGCAGTTAGATTCATGGACTATGATTCTTTTTTGGGGGGGTGTGGCGCGGGGAGGTAATTAGGTTTATTTATATTCATTTTTCTGAAGGAGGTACTGGGGATTGAACCCAGGACCTTGTGCATGCTAGGCATGCGCTCTACCACTGAGCTCTACCCACCCATCGATAATGATTCTTACTGAGGCAGAGTCTCTTCTTTTTCCCAGCACTTGGTGGGTAGATATGTATAACACAGAACAGATCTTTCCAATGGATATGGCCTGCCCAACACTCTTCTGGTACATCTATTAGAAAATATATTTTGTTAACAGAAATTACATAAGATAAACAATGTCAGTCGTTGGGTTACAGAAGCTGACATTCCCCAGGCTGCATATTCCCCCTCTTTTAGGTATTTCACTTACGGTGGCCATGTAGGTGAAGTCACTTCCAAGTTCAGTTTCTCCAAAAGATGTGAGCTGTTTGCTAATGAGGAAGCATCCCTGCTTGCCCGTTCTGGCTGCCAGGACTTCTGGGACTCAGAGGCAACTCTCCTACGTCTGAGGGGTTCTTGGCTTGCTGAAATCTGTCATCTATATCTCATGGTCTTAATGAAAGGAAAAAGTGTAATCCCTGTCTTTGCATGGTGCCATTTGCCCCCTCTGGTTTGTGGCATTGTCTTCCTCTTCATTTCATTGATGTTTTGGTTGGGCATCGAGATCTTTCTGTCCTCTCCTGGATTCCTCCCAGCCAGTCTGTAGACCTCTGTTTATCTCCATGCTCTCTCTCTATAGCATTGTGCCTCCATCACTATCAATCCCTTTAGTGAACTCACTAATTATATCATGGCTTAATTATATTTATGAGAACAGAGGTTGGTAAAGTTCACCTGTGGTTCAGGGAGCTTGCCATCTACTGTAGGATACAGACATAACCATGTGTGAGAATCGAGAGAGAACCACAATACTGAATAGGAGAGGAGGACCAGAGACACTGGCTAGACACGTTGGAGTAAAATTTTAGAAGTTTTTGTTTCAGACTCTATTGTTCTCGGTAGAAGTTCTAGCCAGATGTCTCCCACTTTCTGTAGGGAGGGACAGAGGCAGTTTAATTGGAATTCTGGTCACAGTTATTTAAAGCTGTTCCTTTGTTGGGGGAGGGGTGGGGCTCAGTGGTAGAGCACGTGCTTAGCATGCATGCTTAGCATGTACGAGGTCCTGGGTTCAATCCCCAGTCCCTCCATTAAAAATTTAATAAACAAACAAACAAATCTAATGACCCCTTCCCACCAAAAAAATAAATAAATAAAATAAAGTTGTCCCTTTGAATGAAAAATGGCTTTGCCTGCTATGTGAAAATACAGCAGCTCTTTACTAAGGCACAGTAATGTATTGTGAATCCTTTACAAATGTGTTACCAATTTTGACAAATTTGTAAGATTAAAGTTTGCTCAAGCTGCAATTCCTACATTATAGTGCTAGATCTCAGACAACTTCAAACTGAGCAGTTCCTGGAACAGAATACAGCATAGGGAACAGAAGGTGGGAAGTAAGGGATAATGAAGCATAGTATACAACTGTCAAACCAGCCTCAATGAAGATGATGTGTTCACTAAACACGCGCATCCCAGGCCTGTGAATATCAAAGAGAATGTGGACAGAACACGACTTTATTCCCACGGTGTTGAGGGTCGCCCAAGGGAGGAGGGGAACAGCTTTTGTAGATGCTGTGAGATACTGTCACACTAAAGCAGTGATGGTGGTTAAAAGACTACAGACTTTTAAAGTGTTGTTTTAGGCCTTTTAATCTCTTCAAGTGTGCCACTAAAAATTACAGCATTCAAAACGGTGCTGACACACACACACACACACGGTGCTGCTGAGAACCACTGTAGCAGTACATTTAAAATGAAAATAGAAGATATCTCCTTGTTCCTTTTTCTTATCAGGTAGCCTACCAAGGCTTTAACATCTCACACCTCAAATGAATATCACCTGTTTCCTTTTTATCCGAGCCCCGGAACATGAGAGCTCATTAAAATCTGAGAAATTTTATTAACTCTCTCTGACAGATTCCCCCCCAACCCTGCTTCTTTATCTTTCTTTCACAAACAGGATTATGAGGTTGCTTGATGGGTTTTTAATATTGTCAAGAAAAAAATCTCCCCTTGGGAGATTTGTGCAGTAGATAACATAACCTTAAGAGCCTTATTCAAATGAATTTATTCAAATAAAGTGGGTAGATGCCACCGAACCAGCTCAGCATCAATAAATTTCAAAGCTGTCTTCAACACCGTGTTATCTCATTTGTAATAGAACAAAGAACCACTAGACGGAGCTAGGGTTTAAGAAATCACAGCTCTGAGTTGGGTGACTGATGTGATGGGTCGAATGTTAGTGTATCATCACTTGGATTTCAAAGCCCATGCAAGCCTTCCCTAGCTTGGCTAACAGCTGCCATCTGTTTACTTTGTGTCTACACAAGAGGAGACAAAGGGAGATGTCTGGGACAGCTCAATTTTTTTAGTCACTCTAATGATGACGTCTGACCTTGGTACAGCACTTTTCATTTAGAGTGCTGTCCCCTACATAATTACGTTTGATCCTCACAGCAACTCTGAGAGATTGCTGGGCAAGAATTTGTCCCTCTGTTTTGGAGGTTAATAAACACACAGGGTATTTGTAATACATTAGGATGCATCACAGGATGGTTAACCTGGACAACTGAGGTTGCACAGTTTTTTTTAACTCTTACATTCTTGGGTAGACTGTTGGTTGACCCAGCCTGGAACTAACTAGAAATCAACTCATTCCTTTTATGGGACATTCCTTTAAGTCTCTGGTCACACCCTCTGGGGATACCTAGTAAAAAGACAGTTAAAGCGTATATACGGGTAGAAATCTCCTAAATTAGGTGAACAAAGAAGAGTTGGCTGAGCTCCTACCCAGAAACCATGGTGGATGTGATTCCCCTTATCTCAGGAGGCAGGTGTGAAGACCCGCCTGTCATACAGTGCAGTGTGGCCTGTCCATCAAGCCAAGGTTTTTAATTAATGTTAAAAGTCCAGGAAAGCTGCGTACTCCACCCCAATACCCCAAGCATTTGTCCTCAGAGACAAGCCCCTAGCGTTTAGATTTGTCAGTTTGTTCCTGTTTCCTAACCTTATACACTGATAACAGGTTGTGCTTCAGCAAAAAAAAAAACAAAAAAAACAAACAAAAAAACAAAAACCCACGAAAAACAACCCCCCCAAACCCCAACCCTTTATGTGTAGATACATGTATTTTCTTGGTCTTTCTGGTAAAACATTCGCCACATAAAAGTGGAAATGAGATCAGTCAGCAAATTTTTCAAACGTCTGGAGTCTGTATTTTCGCCTTTGGTCATCTTTAAAAACTACCCAGGACAGCTCTCCTGGAGCTCCACCAGTCAGTCACTCTGCAAGTCTGACCTCTTACAATATTTCATTAGTTAATGGCCAAACACTGGCTTCAGAAGAATCCAGGTGGGGCAACTTCCACAAAGGAGGCTAAGAAATCCTAGCGGCCAGCAGGAAGGTATTCCAAGAGCTTCAGAGGTTCCCAAGGGCTCTGGTCTGAAACCAGGAGCAAAGCAGGAGAGGCAGCGCATCGTGCTCCCCCAGGACTCCATGGGACCTTGTTGGGAGGGAACCCAGCAAGACGGCAGCTCATACCCCTTCTCCTCACAGCCCAAGGCGCATTTCCCGGCTATGCCCAGAAGGTGGCACTGCCCATCCAGCCTTGACCCACCGCCGCCCTCGGTTTCCCCACCGCTGCGAGAGCGCCCAACTCGGTCTCCCGCAGGGCGGCGAGGGGGGACGCGCCCGGTAGGGGGCGCCGCGGGCCCAAACGCGGCGGCTCCCTCCGCCCACCCGGAGGCGGCTGCGGCGAGGCGAGCCCCGCGCGAGTGCACTGCGAGGCGGGCCGCAGGGAGGGAGGCGCGAAGAGGGCGCGAGGGTGGCAGCCGGAGGGAGCTGCCGCCCCTGCCCGCCCGGGTCCCCGTGGGGTGCATGGGGCGCTTCGAGCCGGGATCCCACGCGGGCCCCGCGCCCAGCTTCCTGCTGCCGTGAGAAGCCGCGCCGGGACGCCCCCAGACCCAGAGCTGCCGGGAGGATGACCATGGCCGGGGGCAGGAAGGGACTGGTGGCCCCCCAAAACACGTTTCTGGAGAATATTGTCCGGCGGTCCAATGGTAAGAGGTGCATTCGGGTGTTTGCTGCTCCGGCTTTTTATCCGTGCCTTTATTGCAGACGGCTCCCGCCGCTCGGCGCCAGCAGATGCAGCAGAACCCCCGAGCTCTGCTGGGAGCCGCGGCGCGGGCGCCCGGGGCTGCCTCCCGGAGGCTGGGAAAGGTGGGCAGGGCGGGGCGGGGTCTGATGGGTCCCCATCCCAAGAGAAGCGCTCTCCTGGGGATGCTTTTGGGGCCTTTCTCGCGCCTACTCGGTCTCATCTCCAGAGAGTGTGACAGCCGATGAGCAAAGTACTGGGAAAAGTGATGGGAAGCTGGACGCAGCAGGAACGGCAGCGCGTTCCCCCTCGGTACTGCCCATCCCTCCGCGGAGGCTCTCCGGCCGCTCCGCACGGTGCCGCCTCTCCCCATAGAGAGCCCCAGTAGAGACCGGCAACTCTGAGATCCGGTCCCCGGGGGATGGAAGGATACGGCTGCTTCCATCTTCCACCCCGGCGGCAGCTGAAAAGTCCAGTCTAGGGATGTGGGCACCCAGGGACGTGCCCCAGGCTGCTCAATTTCCACCTCCTCACCCACCCACCCCCTTCGAGGTTAAGGCTCAGGAGGGGCAGAGTTTCCTGGACTCAGGTGGAAAGTGGAGGGGCACAGGTGCAGAGCTGGCCAAGTGATCACATGTATAAACCTGTCTCCGTTCCTCTCTTCCAAACCACAGCAGTGTTTTATGCCTGTAACTCTCACTCACCTATACGTTGCCAAACTCACCAAACCTGTAAGTCTGTCCGTTACTCAATAAACTAGTGCTCCCAGCTCCTCTCTTTCCCAGTGGCACTAAGATGGCATGAAGTGATGGCAGGCGAGAGTCCTAGGAGCAGAGATGGAATTGGAAACATTTCAAACGCCTGTAGTACCCACAGCAGAGCTTCCCCGCTAAAGCGCTTTCAGAGCAAATAGGAGACCCGTGGTTAGAAGATGCAGTGTACACCCGTTCATCAAACGGCTAGAATGAAAGAGGGAAAGCCTCGAGATGCTCTTTCCAGGCTTCTGGACCCCTCTCCTTCCCGAAGCAGACGACATTCTATTAGGAGGAGGTGAAGAGCTAGCTCAGGAAATGGGTTTTTAAAATGTGTAAATATCGTTACAGAGTCTTAAGGAGCTTGTGTTAAAACTACCGGCTTCTGTTCGGATTTAGTTAGGATTCAAGGGAACGGCTTGAAAATGACTTATGCTACTAGGAAATACTCTTTAATTAGAAGTGACTTAAGTTTATCTTACAGTAAAATACTTATCAACTAGGATAGCAAATCATTTATCATTCAAGTACCTTTTAGAAATGATCATTTATCATGTACCCCTTGAAGAATTTCTGGTCAGTCACCTTTCCTTTCAAGGTCTTCCCCACTCAAACTAAGCTGGCTTTTAGATTAAGGTCACAGCCATTATCTGGGGAGGCAAGGGGGTGATAATTATTATAGTGAACAGTCACAACGAACATTTCTGCCATAAAAAAGCTGGAGGTGTTCATGGATTTCTAAGTAAAATCACTAAGAGTTGATCTGTTGTGATTGGTATTGTTATTGGCATCTGGTGGGGGGTTTCTGGAGACAGTCTTGCTATTTGGGGACCCTATTTTTAAGTGACATCAACTTCCTTATAAATATCAATGACAATTCAATTTTTTGGTGAAGAGGCAGTGTCCTTCAAGTTAGAGGGGAAACTGTATCTTACGTATATCTTGTTAGTCTTTGAGTGGGAGAGAGCAGAAGGGGAATCAAATGCAATGATCACAAGGTTCCTTGGGCTTCTCGGAGGAACTTAAGAATCCTGGAGTTAATACCACCATGAAGTCATAAAAATCAGAAATTCTGGAGCTGACACAATTACAAAAAATCCTGGAGCTGAGGAGGCAGAATACCTTCTAGTTTAGTTAATCTTAGAGCCACTTTCCCTCTATAAGCATCCATGGAGTGTCGGTTGAGTAAGTAACTGACAACGTTTTTTTAGCACTGGTGCTTTAATTTCAGCACCATTTCTTCAGTTAACCAACCAACCAAACAACAACAATAAAACCAACACATCTGGAGAGGAGAGTTGGATGAATGTTTAAAATGATCTATTATATCAGAAGGAAAGATTCTGATCTTGAAACGTGGGATTTAAGTTTTTAGTGACCCCTTTTATCATATTTCCTGAACACAAATAGAAACAACAATTTGGACTCTTGGAAAATATCACAATACCTACAAGCATTATGTTGTTTCACTGTGATGGAAAAAGCCTATTTAAAAATATTGATTGTCTCTTAAAATCCACCAGCCCTTTTTCAGAGGGGAGCATTAAAGTATTTAAGTAGCATTTTACCTTAAAATAGCAATACGTTTGGATCACTTTATTAGGCATTTTTTCCCAGTGGTCTTATGCAGTATCATTGTTCCTCTCTTACAGATCCTAAAACTGAGTCCTGGGAATATTAAGTGACTTATTGAAAGTAACAGGCAGACAGGGTGTAAGGCAGGAATTCTTTAGAGGGGATCGTTCATCCTTCTTGTAGGATCATTGTTTCTCCAGCCATGATGACTTAGCCTGTGGAACTGTTTTCATCATCCTTAAAAAAAACTTCTCTCATTATATGCTAATGGGCAGTGGAACTGGCTTTGTTTTTGGGGCATTTGATTATCAGGTGTCTGGGATACAGAACTGTAGGATGAGACAGACCTTAGATGCTACATTGTCTTCCTCTCCTTCCCCATCACTGTAAAAATGATGGCATGGAAGCAAGTGCATTTTCTCAAATGTTTAAGGGCAGAGCTGAAGGGACCCTAAGCCCCTTGACCCCAGTGTCATGTTCCTTACGGTACGCCATGCAGTGACACTCCTACATTACCATTATTTCCTCTAGAGGAACACCTTTTCCCAGTGGAGAGTAAATAAAATGTTATAACAACATGAACAGCATCCATTTTGGCCAACAGCCATCCTACCACATCCAAACAGAATAATAGGGCAAAGGAGAAGCTGATTCTGTTTCAAGGAGGGGCAGTGTTTTCACCTTTGTCAGTGGTTTAGCTGAAGGCACAGGCCAGATAACAGACCCTTAACATCCGCGTGCCAGTTGTAAAGTATGAATTCCCTTTCCATAGACTATCACCTTTGATCCTCGTAAGCCAGCAAAGGAGGTGCCATGTCTCCATTTCAGTTTCAGGATCTAAGACTCCACAGATGAAGTAATTTACCTACAGTTAGTTCGTAAGAGGCAGAGTTAGAAAGAGGCAGTTAGAGGCAGCTCAGGGACTAGTCAGCAGTGGTTACTGGTTTGTTCACTCAACAGAAACTTACTGAGAGTATTGATTGGGCACTGGGGTACAGTGGGAAACAGATCCTCTTTACCCCTAGTGAGTTACATTCCAGTGAATCTCTGTCTAAGGATCTTGCCCCTATTCCACAGCATTTCTTTGCTGCAACTCTTATCTAGACCTGACATTGTACTAAGAAAATTTGTTTTCAGTTTGCTGATCTTGATGGGACTAAAATCTAGTTTAACTTTAATACATTCCGAATACCACTTGAAGGCAAGATTTGATACTTATCTGTTTTATGTATTTTTGTTGCATAGATGTAAGTGGTCAGTGGGAATAATTAGCATCCCAGATTTGGTTTGATTTTGTTTATGATCATTTCCGATCCTTCTATTGACTTTATGGCCAGCCTGTTTCTCTTTATATTCTCTTTATATTGGAAAGTGTTGTTCCAGAATATTTTTTGATGGTTGCTTAAATCTGTAGGCACTCACTGTCAGAATGCTTGCTGAAGCAAATAGATCTGTCTTAGGAAGGCTGGCAGACCTTAATGCCAGGAAACTACAAAAATATTACCCTAAATGGTCCCATTCTAGGCAGAACATATGTTTTAGTGTTCGGAAACCTATGTCAAGCAATTATAGGTGCCAGTTAAGAACCCATGCATGTTAGCAGAAGTGAAACGCAACACATTTTGGTACAGATTTATGTACATGTATAATTTACAGATTGCTAAATCAGCTGTGTTTTTGTATAGCGTTAAGTTGGTTCAGGTTGTTGGTATAAGTAGTTAGCAAACAGGATGAGAGCTGTGGGTATGTTGTGTTTCCTTATAGGGGTGCTGAGCCACGGGAATATTTATACAACAGAAAACTGGTTAAAATCCATTGTTCTGAAAGGGGAGTGGGTGAAAATCTGGAATATTACCAATTCAACAGAGCTTTTTTTTTTCTCCTTGTAGTATGTGTGCTAAGGTAACTTCAACCCAGGCTCAGCTGTCTCTCTAAAAGAGTCCCACATTTAATCTATTGACTGATAATAGCTGGAGAATGGAGGGGATGAAACCTTGTGATTTAAAAAAGGCCACAAGGTTTCCAAACTCCATGATTTTTATGAAATCCATGTAATTTTAATAATCTACCATAAAAGAATAGATGCATTTGAGGAACACCGTGGCAAATTGAATCTTTGGCTTCATTCTTTCCAACACCAGCTCTCCATTTATGACTGGGCTTCATTTGGCAATGGTTTCTCCAGCATCACCTTGAACCTCCTCCATCCTTTGCTTTCTCTTTAGTTTTGGTCAGATAGTGAATGGCTTGTAAACTAATATTTATGGTATACTTTCATTATTTTTTTCAAAGAAGCCTTTTTCTTTTCTTTTTAAAATTGAAGTATAGTTGGTTTACAATGCTGTGCTAGTTTCTGGTGTACAGCATAGTGATTCAGTTTCACATGTATATTTTCTATTTCATATTCCTTTTCATTATAGGTTATTACAAGCTATTGAATATAGTTCCCTGTGCTGTACAGTAGAACCTTGTTGTTTATCTATTTTATATATAGTGTGTATCTGCTCATCCCAAGCTCCTAATTTATCCCTCCCCTTCCCCCTTGTTTTTGTTTTTTGTTTTTTAATCCCCCCTTGTAACCATAAGTTTATTGTCTATGTCTGTGAGTCTGTTTCTGTTTTGTAAATAAGTTCAAAGA